AGGTGGCCAGTCAGCATCTGGATGTGGGACCAGTTTTTCCAGCTGCCCTCCTTTCTCTCTTTTTTTAAATTATTATTTTGTATTATTTTTGAGACAGGGTCTCGCTTTGTTGCCCAGGCTGGAGTGCAGTGGTGCTCTCAATAGCTCACTGCAGCCTCGACCTCCAGTCTCAAGCAGTCCTCCTGCCTCGGCCTCCCAAAGTGCTGGGATTATAGGTATATGCCACCATGCCCAGCCCACTTTCTCTCTCTTAACTCCCTCTCCCTGCTGTTGTTGCCATACTCTTGCATACACAATCAGCTGTCTAGTTTTGGACTGTTTGTGGATAAGTTTGTGTGTATGGTGTGTGTTGTCTCTCTCACCAGATTTCAGGTTCCTGAGGTGAGCCTGCAGCTCATACTGCTCATCTGTCCTCTCCTGTGATGGGTGCTCAGGGCCTCTCACTGTTGGTTACTGCCTCCGTTCTGCCCAGTTCTGCACTCAACTAGTAGAAGCAGCCATGCTTTCCCCAGCAAGAAATTGTAGTGGTCGCCCTTAAGAGCAGTGTGAGGGCAGAAGATTAAGGGAGGGGAAGAGTCCCTGGAACTGGAAGAAGGTAAATACTCTGCCTTGAGAGGGCACTGAACCATTTTACCAAAATAGGAAATGGAAAAAGTGTCAAAGGTTGGGACTAGTTTTAAAAACACATACAGCCAGTAGACACATGGGGGCTGTTAAAATAATTTTTTTTTACCCGGTTCTGCCATCACACGCCCTAGTGACATTCCAAGTATTTAGTGGCCATGTGGGGCTAGTGGCCACCACACTGGACACCACGGACGCAGAACTTTTCCATCGCCGCAGAGAGCTCTGTTGACCAGTACTGTGTCCAGAGTGCTCATTATGAACAGTTTAGAAACCACGATTAATACATTCTCCTTATGAGGTTAAAAGCAGACATGGGAATAGAACATAACGCAAATGAGGATGAGTATTTTGGGTGAGAAGAGAAAGCCGAGGACCCATTTCTAGAATTCTAAGATGTAAGATTTAAGTTCTTTATCTTAGTCTCGTGCATTCTCCACATCATGCACTGTACCACACTGTGTACCATGCTGTGTAGTCAGAACAGACAATGTGATTGAAAAGCTTTGGAAAAAGTGAACACAAAGGATTATTTAGCACACAGGCTTGTAGATACGTATGTGTGTATTTATTCAAGCATTGGAGATGGTTGAATACCTTTGAACAAAGTGTACAGCTTCTCAAATCAGTGGTTGCACTAGTAAATAATTAGAAGGTGTTATTTTTAAAACTATAAGCAAAATTATGAAGGCCTTTAAAAAATCTATCATAATAATGAAAAAGAGGTTGTCTCCCAACAGTGCTGTCCCTCAAAGAAAAGATTGGTTATGTGGAAACAGCACATTTGGAGATTGTTCTAGTGAATAGCAGTGTATATTTGTGGTGCGCAAATTTCTAAGAATGACCCCTACTGACACCCCTGCCAATGACCTTGTACAATATCCTCCCCCTCTGAGCATGGGTGGAACCTGTTTGATCCATGATTATATCATGTTATGTAGCAAAAGGAAGTCTGTCTAGGGGTGGCTAATCAAATCTTGTGACTCCTTTAGAAGCAGAGAGTTTCCTCGGGCTGGTAGCAGAAGTCAGAGACAAAGCAGAAGGACCCCAGGCACCATTGCTGTTTTAAGGTAGGGGGCTGCGTGAGAAAGAATGCACGGGGCTTTAAGGAGCTGAGAGAGGCCTTGGCTAATAGCCCAGGGAGCTGGGAACTGCAGTCCTACAGCCACGGGAACTGAATTCAGCTCATTCATGGGCTTGGAAAGGCATTCATCTCCAGTCTCCAGGTAAGACCAAGCCTGGCCAACACTTTGAGTCCAGCCTTGTGAGACCCTAAGCCAAGAACTCAGTTAAGCCTGCTTGGACTTCTGACCTACAGAACTATGAGAGAATAAATCAGTGGTGTTTTAAGCTGCTAAATTTGTGGCAAATACGTTATGTCGGAATAGGAAATGAATACAGTATTTTAAAAGAGGTAAAGAGGAACTCTTCGTACTTGATTCCCTGTAGTATGCTGGATCTTTCTTGGTAAATGCATGAATAAAGTCTTCAGTAGCAAGTCATGTACCTGGACCTCGGTGGGGATGTTCTCTTGCCAGAGATCTCAGTTTGTCTTCGTTGGACGTTTGTTGGCAAAGTTGCAGCATCTTACTGAGTAGCGTTTTGTAAAGGAACTGCTAGAATGAGACTATAGGAATAGGACTGAAACAGTGTATAATGAATCTTTTTTATTTCTAGAAGAGGTGTTACTTTATGCTGATTTAGACTGCTCTGAGCCTGTCAGAAGTAAATTCAAGAATGATTAACAGTGGTATTTTAGATACAACATTAAGAGCAAAAACAACCTTGGCCTTGTAGAGATCAGATAATCTACTGTTTATCGAGGGACTTAATTTTTTTTAACCAAAACTTAGTTTCTCTTTTTACCATCTAGAACAGATCAAATCCTGTATGGGCCAGCCAAATGTTTGCAGTTTGAGAATGTTTTGCAAATACCTCTCTGCTTCCAAGCCATTAATTGCTAATGAAGTTTTATTTTGTCCATTAATTTTTGTGCTTTTTACTGTATTGCCATGGCCTTGATACAAGTAGAACTAAAAGAAAGAAAATGAGAGGTTAAGACTGTCAAAAGTTAAGAAATGTGAGTCATAATCATACCTTAATGTTTTAAGGGAACTTTATCCAATCCAATCCCTTTATAGAAAAGGAACTTTTCCAAGCTATGTTGCAATATTTATAGTGTGTAAGATTTTGACTTTGGTAGTTGTGCATTTTAAATTATTGATCTTATATGCTACGATAACTAGTATGCTTACTTTCTTTAGTGCATGTGATCATACAATGCTAAAAAGATATTTTTTAAAGACCCAACCAAACTGAGGATTTTGTTATACATATCTGTATCAACACCTATATATAAACTCCTCTCTTCTTACCTGAAACACTCCTTCACCGGTTTGGGCACTAACTAGATCCTTTTCAAAGGAACAGACGGGAGTGAGCAAGCTGGCACTCCAGAGTGCGTCTGAGCTGAGAATTTAGAAGACCTTATTCAAGAAAGTAAACTGAGCATTGACGGGAAGGCACTTTGCGCGAAGTATCATTCCCACTGTTAACGTTGCAGTAAAAATTGTGGAAAAAAAAATAGTGGTGCTAACATTGTTCTTAAATGAAGACTCTTTTTGTTGTGGGGAATATTTTAATACTCTTGGACTTTAGGGAGGCTATTTTATGTGTCACTTGCTCCTAGCTGTTTCATTGTGTTAGTAATTAGCAAACTGTCCTGGATCCAAGGGTTTGGTACTTTTGCTTGATTAGCATTCCATTATTTATTTGAAATGCTCAGTGTGTGCTCAAATTTGGTGAAAATATCTTTTGAAGACATATTCTCTGAGCCTTAAAAATGGCTGCTATCGACAGTACTGTAAGATGCACTGCCAGTAGATTTGATACTTTTCATTTCAGTGTAGGCAGTAATGTTTTCTAAGAAAGATTTAGAAATCAGCATAGTATAACAACTGTGTTTCATTTATGGAATGAAAAAACTGAAGTGTCCCATTCAGAACACTTTGGAAAGGTTGTCTTTGCATTAGGGGATGTTTCTGGAAGCATCCCTTAGAGAAGCTGCCTGAGGAATCTCCTTGCCAGGTTGTACCAGATTTTTTTTTTTTTTTTTCCTTAAATGTATTGTATATATTTTCCTTAAAATGTCTTCATTGGCTGAATGATTCGTATCTGTAGTAATATTTTAGGTACTTGTTGGATTTTTAAAGGAAGATTATTTATTTTCAGATTTGCTGCTATAATTGAAAACCTAATAACTGGTCCTGTTGATTGTGCCTTTCATCACTGTTTTTCTGTGCCACGACCGTTCATGTGTATTTGAAATAAAGAAGTTTAAAAAGCCATGTTGAATTCAAGATTCCTTCTAATAAAAACAGGTGAAACTTAATGAGTAGTATTTTATTATTAATTTTGTTTAACACTGATACATACTAGTTACCCATTTTCAGTTAGAAAAGAGAGTGGATTCTTTATTTGGGTTTTGTAAAGTCTTTAAAGGGGGAAAAAAAGCCTTACTGTGAAGACAGTGATGACGAATATTATGCTGATGTTCACTTTATTATATGCACTATACAGTTCCTAAAATAAGAGTAGCTACCTGGGCCTCTTTGATCTAAAATATTTAGGGGCTAGTAAGTTTTTAATGTAGAAAATGCTACTAATGATGCTTAGGGCCTGAAGTACAGTGACCCCCGTTTGAGGGATACTACAGGTTAAAGAGGATTCTGAAGGTTAGAAGGGATCATGTGGCTTATCTAAATATTTAAAATACAGCTCATTAGAAATGGAGATTATGCATTTTTGTCAACAGGAGAGAGATGGGGCTGGATGATTATTCCCTTGTTCTCCAACTAGATACTCTTTCAAAAATACTTAATTCATGTTGTTTTACATGTTTTCCCCATGCCCTTAGCATTTTACATGTAGCTCTTAGGTTTGCAAATATTAGAGTGAACACACATGCTTTAGTTTAAAAAATATTTATTACAGAAATGTACATTTAATTAGTTTTAAGGAATGTACCTGACCACAGTGTTTATATTTCTTCAAATTTGCAAACTTTACACCTTTAAGATATCTACAAAGATAGTTTATTTACAAGTTTTACAAGAAATGATCACTTCACAATACTGTTGACACAGTTATGATTGAATATTCTCACTTTTTTTTATTTCACTCTGTACTTATAGAAAGAACACAGAGTATGGGTGAAGTTCCATCCCAGTGCCAGGGACAGCCCGTAGAGCAGAATCAGAGGTGCAAATGGATACAGAAGAATTACTGTATTTTTCAAAAATGGCAATGCTGGAAAAGAAAGGAATCCAAACTGATTTTTTTAAAAAAATTATGACTAATAAATGAACATTTTGAAAGACAGCTTACTTCAACATGTGGGGTGGAAGGGAATCCATCTTTTGAATCAGTAAGATTATGCTATTTATACCCAGAACTAGACTACTCCTCCCAACCCCTCTGTGCTGTTTCCTTCTTGTCTAGGGCTGGGAAGAAACCTAGGAGAGGAATTATTTCAGCACAGAGACTGAGTGGGACATACACTGGACCAAGAGAGGTTAACAGGGAGAAATATCACAAATATTCATGAAAACAGTGGTGAATTTAAACTTGTGACTGCCTCAGAAGCCTCTAGGAGTCCAACTTCAAGTACAGAGATGGATGATACAGGAAAATATCTTTTAGCTATTTGAGATTTTCCAGTGTAAAGCATTATACCCTCACTTGAAGAAGGTGTGAGCTCAACTAGTAGCCCAGGCTTCAGAAAAGAACTGAAACTCAAAAAATCTGGCTCCAAATACTGATGTTTCTTGGTCACTGGTTAGTTGGCGGGCCTACCCCATGCATCCTGACCTGAGTATTTCTCATACAGGAAGGTCTTAAACAGAAACTGAGCTGTACTCCAACTATTCTAAGTGGTATAGGAGTTAGGAGCAGTGTTCAAATAACCACTTAGAGAAACCACAGTGCTGCAGTGTTCTCATCACAAAACACTTTCAAAATTCATTAGAAATGGCACAAACATCTCCCCTGGACTAGAGAAAGCACTCCCCAAACAAAGCATTACAATGAAGGCGTTAAGTGTTCCCTGGCCAACCAGCCGAAGGGGGAGAGAATGGGGATGGGAACAACTCTGGAGCCAGGCACAGTCAAAGCCATCTGTATTTACAGTTAGGCCCTAACCATCCACAGTAACAGGAAAGGAAGGGCTAAGAAACATACAGTGCAGTCTCTAGATTTTATTTGGCTTTATTTAATGGAGATCATTTCTTAACATAAATGAAAAATAATGTTCCTCATTCATATTAAGAAAAATGAACTGACAACAGGATTTAAGAGTAAATCTGCAAACATGTCCTGAGGACAATAAATGCTGGGCCCGATCTTCTGTGATCATCTACAGAACCATACGGTAATCAAGAAAACTAAAAAGGGGGCGAGAAGTATGACTCCAAAGGCTTTAGAGAACTTCAGTTCATAGACCTGTGTAACAAGATTCTGGGTCCCACCTTTCTTCGCTCTACCCTGCGGCTGGTAACCCACAACCTGAAAGCATGGGAGAAGAGGAGCGAATGGTCTTGGATTCCTGCAAGTCATTTGGAGATAACCAGTATGGTTTAACATGGCTCCTTCAAAGTATAAAATCTGTTATATACCAGCTAGGCCATTTTCTAGCTGCATGACCATGGGTAAGCTGCTTAATCTCTGTGCCTCAGTTTCCTCATTTGAAAAACCAGAAACAAGTAAACCTGTGTAATTATGAAGATTAAATGAGATAATGCACATAAAATATTTAGGACAGTGCCTGTAAGTGTTCCATAAAAGCAAGCTCTTAGTATTACTGTTACAACTTTCCCCCTCTTCCTATGTTCTCACCCAAAAACATTTTAAAAAATTACTTACCACTGTATCCCAGGAAAGTGACATAGATATAATAGCCAACTGCAACCAACCATAAGGTGTTTCCAACTAAATATCCAATAAATGTGTCTGTCAGGATAACATCTGCCAGAAGAGATGCAGACCATGAGTCCCTTCACCAATGCATGCAGTGAAGACTTGGATAATATTCTAAGTAACTGCTACTTACGGTTGATGAAAAAAAGCTGGATAAAATGCAAAATGACCAGGAGTGGATAAAAAGCATTGAGATGCACATCAAAAGCATAGCCCCATTCCACATCATAGTCTCTGCTCTGTCGTTTCACTAAATACTTGTTAGAGATGAACCTAAGAGCAAAATTAAAATTTCTTTCATAATAAAATTGATTCTGTAAATGTTTACTTACTATGTGGCAGACATTCTAAATTCTAGAGCTATACCAGTAGACAAAACAGACAAAAATCCCTACCTTCCACCTAGGAAGGAAGACTGACCATGGATAAATATGTTAGATGGTACTATGGAAAGAGAGAGAGCAGTAGAGAAATGTGGAGAATACAAACCTGAGATGCAATTTTACATATGAGGGTTATAAAGTAACATTTGGGTAAAGACCCAAGGACAGTGATGGTGCCTGGCAGGTCTGAGGAATGGTAAAAAGACCAATGTGCTGAAAGAAAAGCAAGAAATGAAGTGAGAGAAGAAACAGGGTTGGGTCCAACGTCAGGTCACACAGGATCCATGTTTGACTCCATGTTTCATGGAGCCTGTGGCCATTTTACAATCTTTGGCTTTTATTCCTGGTGAAATGAGAAGCCTTATTTGACTTAAATGCCTTGACAGAGCCTCCCTGGTGGCTGATCTGAGAACACACTCGAGAGACAACACTGGAAGCAGAGGCCAGTTAGAAGGCTACAGCAAGGAAGAGATGAGCAGAGGGACTGGTGGCAGTGGAGGTGCTAAGATGTGGCACACATGATACTCGGAAGGTAGACCCCCGACATTATTGGATGTGCAGTATGAGAAAAAAAGACTCAAGGATGACTGAGAGATTTCTGCCTTGAACAAATGGAAGATGGAGATGGAGCCGCCTTCAATTGAGGTGGGGCTGGCTGTGAGAAGAGTGGTTCTGAGGTGGGAAGGAGTGTGCGGAAGTTTGAATTTGGACCTGTTATGTTGAAGATGCCAACTAGTATGGAGTAAGAAGTTGTATACCATGTCTAGAGTTTAGAGGACAAGTCCAAACTGGAGATATAAACTCATCAGTGTGTAGATGATATTAATATTTAAAGCCACGGGCCTGAATCATGTCACCAAAAAAATGTGGATAATGAACAGGCCCAAGGCCCAAGACCCCTATTAAGAGGAGGATGAAATAGTAAGAAGCAGTTAGGAAGAGTGACACATCCAGCCATAAGAACAATTATTCAAGCGTATGTCACTGTTCTGCAACATGGCCTACTAGTTTTTCAGTTCAATGATGAATAAAAAGTAAAATATCCAAGTAATAGAAAAGTAGATCTTCAAACAACAAAAGTTGTATTATAAACATATATTGGAAATTCAATGTACTTTTTAATGTATCACTTGATTTCATCTCAAGGATACAATTAAGAATATACTATTCTGACACTGGGGATAAAAATGAAAAATAAACAGATGAAAAACATGGTACAATACTAATGGTAACAGTTCTTGCATTTAGTTATCTGAAAATGCCAAAACAATACTGAACAAACTAGAGCTTACCAAGACAGTTTCCTTTTTAGCCAAGAATGTGTGCCATTCAAATTGTATGGACTCAACATGTAGCTCACTCCCCAAGAGCACCCTCTATGAAAGCAGAAGTTCTCTGCTGCCCCTATTCCCCTGCTTATCCCAAATGGGCACTTTCCAAGCTTCTGGCCTCAGTGAGAGTCTTTCCTCTAGAAGACAGATGTGCCTTCTGAGAGCACTCCAAGGCACTGTGGTTTTCACCTCCCAGCTCCATATTAACGCCAGTCAGAGGCTCATCATGGCCCAGACTCTTGCCTCTAGGTCTAGAGTCATCAACCTCAGTGTCTACTGACCTTTTCCACTCTTCAACAAGTTCCCTGAACTCAACAGGCCATCAAGGGCTGCTTCATCTGCACCTGCTGCTTCCTCAGTCCTCCAAGGCCAAACCTTGCAGGCCATCCCAAAGGAGCCTCCCACCTACTCCCCCTTCCTGATCCTCCTCATACCTTGTTATCTCAGGAAGCTCTCGAATCCATCTCTCCTCTCTATTCCCATCACCACCATACTATCTGGGCCGCCTCTACTCCTACGCAGACCTCTGCAAGTGTATCCAGCCTTGCCCACTCACTACTCCAACTTTTGCCTCCTCCACTGCCATGGAAAAGATTTTTCCTAAAGTGTGAGTTTGACATTATTTCCTTACTTCAAAGCCTCAAACCTCCCCACCTCCTTCTGCCCCCAACCCAAACATGCAGTCTATGAGATAAAGTCCAATTTTTTTCCTGAATGGCATTAAGGCCAATTTCTGTAGTCACATCTCTTCCCCAGTCACTCGGTGTCACCCTATGCTCCCAGACCTAGCATGCTGTTCCACACCTCTATGCCTCTGCACTTGCAATTCCTGGTGCCAGGAGTCAACTATTCCCCATCTCCACAAACCACCTCCTTATGCTGGCTTCAGTAATACATCTGTGATGGTCATCATTACATGCAGTCATTTCTCCTTCTAGTTCCTCACACAACATAGGTTCTCAAAACTACACTGAATCCCTTTCTATTTAATTCGAACTATGATACAGACTCACATGAAAAGTGCTAATCTCCAGGTTGATTTGGTTTCTGTGGCTGATATGGTTTGGCTGTGTCCCCAACCCAAAATCTCATCTTGAACAGTGATCTCTGAAATTCCCGTATGTCAAGGGTGGGGCCAGATGGACATAACTTCCCCCATGCTGTTCTTGTGATAGTCAGTGAGTCTCACAAGATCCGATGGTTTTATAAGCATTTGGCATTTCCCCCATTTGTACTCACTCCATCCTGCCACCTTGTGAGGAAGGTGGCTGCTTCTCCTTTGCCTTCCGCCATGATTGTAAGTTTCCTGAGGCCTCCCTAGCAATGCAGAACTGTGAGTCAATTAAACCTCTTTCCTTTATAAATTACCCAGTCTCAGATATTTCTTTATAGCAGCGCTGAGAACAGACTAAGACAGTGGCCTCCAGAATTACTGTATTCATGGCAGAATGCTTATTATGAAACTATTCCTTTGAAAGTCTTATTTATTGAAATTTCAAAATACACCATTTGTTTTTCATGAATTTCTTGGTAATGAATATGTGACTTACATTAGTATTAATTCTAGGCCAGATTTTAGAATTTATGTTAACAGTGCACAGCATTTATTGGCTAACTAGCATATACAAAAGTTCTGCTGTACTAGTCAGAAGTTACAAAGAAAAATACAGGCATATATCATTTTATCACACTGCACTGTACCGCACCTCAGAGATACAGTAGTTTTTTCATTTTTACATATTGAAGGTTTGTGGCAACTATGTCCAGCAAGTCTTCCTGTGCCATTTTTCCAGCAACATATGCTCACTTCACGTCTCTGTGTCAGCATTTTCTAGCAATAAAGCATTTTAAAGTCTGTACATTGCTTTATAGAGCCATAGTGCTACTGTACACTTAAGACTACAGTACAGTGTAAATATGATTTTAATATGCACTGGGAACCAACACATCTCTGTGACTCAGTTTACTGCGATATTTGCTTTACTGAAGTAGTCTGGCATGGAACTAGCATATCTGAGCTACGCCTGTAAAAGGGTGGTATTGGCCAGGTGTGGTGGCTCACACCTGTAATGCCAGCATTTTGGGAGGCCGAGGTGGGAGGATCACCTGAGGTCAGGAGTTCGAGACCAGCCTGGCCAACATGGCAAAACCCCGTCTCTACTAAAAGTACAAAAATTAGCCGGGTGTGGTGGTAGTATGCCTGTAATCCCAGCTACTCAGGGACGCTGCAGCAGATTTGCTTGAACCCGGGAGGTGGAGGTTGCAGCGAGCTGAGATGGCACCATTGCACTCCAGCCTGGGTGACAGAGTGAGACTTCATCTCAAAAAAAAAAAGGCTGGTATCATCAGAAGTTATAGTTGCAGAGTTTTGCTTAAAATATTAGTAACTACCAAATATTGAACACTTAACTATGTGTCAGGTACTTTTCATAACATAATTCTCTCAAAAATTGGACAAAATAGTTAACTCAATTTTACAAAATAAAGAGACTGGGACTAAGAGTTTCACAGATGGCGAGCGACACAGAAGACAGGTGATTTCTGCATTTTCAACTGAGACTCCACCTCTGGGGACAGGGCACAGCTAAACAACAACAACAACAACAAAAAGCAGCTGAAACCTCTGCAGACGCGAACGACTCTGTCTGACAGCTTTGAAGAGAGCAGTGGATCTCCCAACACGGAGGCTGAGATCTGAGAACGGACAGACTGCCTGCTCAAGTGGGTCCCTGATCCCTGAGTAGCCTAACTGGGAGACATCCCCACTAGGGCAGACCAACACCCCACACCTCACACAGTGGAGTACAACCCTGAGAGGTAGCTTCCAAAGCAAGAATCAGACAAGTACACTCGCTGTTCAGCAATATTCTACCTTCTGCAGCCTCTGCTGCTGATACCCAGGCAACCAGGGTCTGGAGTGGACCTCAAGCAATCTCCAACAGACCTACAGCTGAGGTTCCTGACTGTTAGAAGGAAAACTAACAAACAAGAAGGACACCCACACCAAAACCCCATCAGTACGTCACCATCATCAAAGACCACAGGCAGATAAAACCACAAAGATGGGGAAAAAGCAGGGCAGAAAAGTTGGAAATTCAAAAAATAAGAGCGCATCGCCCCCTGCAAAGGAACGCAGCTCATCGCCAGCAACGGATCAAAGCTGGACAGAGAATGACTTTGACGAGATGAGAGAAGAAGGCTCCAGTCCATCAAACTTCTCAGAGCTAAAGGAGGAATTACATACCCAGCGCAAAGAAACTAAAAATCTTGAAAAAAGAGTAGAAGAATTGATAACTAGAATAATTAATGCGGAGAAGGCCATAAACGAATTGACAGAGATGAAAACCATGACATGAGAAATACATGACAAATGCACAAGCTTCAGTAACCGACTTGATCAACTGGAAGAAAGAGTATCAGCGATTGAGGATCAAATGAATGAAATGAAGCGAGAAGAGAAATCTAAAGAAAAAAGAAGAAAAAGAAATGAACAAAGCCTGCAAGAAGTATGGGATTATGTAAAAAGACCAAATCTACGTCTGATGGGGTGCCTGAAAGT